TAAACAATCCCATGCCTAATAAACATCTAAATTTAACATGATCTCCCTCCACCTCCAGACCCACTCCTCCCACTCTTTGCCTGTCAGTAAAAGGTGACCCCCCCATCCAGGCTGCCAGGTTACAACCCTGGGAGTCATCCTTCACTCACTTTTTCTCCTCCACCTTAGATCTACCCACCAACAAACCTCACTGGCTCAACCTTGCAAATCTCCTAAATGTGAACTCTTCCCGCCCGCCTGGTATTCTCTGTTGTCTAGATTACTTCAAACTTCCTTGCTGGTCTTCTTCTTTTTCCTTTGTTCTTCTTATGGTCTGTTCTAGACAGCACAGTAATCATTATAAAATGCAGGTCCCTGCCTGGAGGCTATTCTCTCTCACTGGGATGGTCTACACTCAATATTCAAAAGGTGGTGCTGTCTGAATGTTTGTGTCCCCTCAAAATTCACATGTTGAAGCCTAATCCCCAAGGTGATGATATTAGGAGATGGGGCCCTTGGGAGGTGATTAGGTCTTGAGGATGGAGCCCTCATGAATGGGATTAGTGCCCTTATAAAAGAGACCCCAGAGAGCACCCTCATCCCTTCCGCTATGTGAGGAAACAGTGGGAAGGTACCATCCATAACCAGAAAGCAGGCCCTTGCCAGATGCTGAATCTGCTGGCGCCTTGATCTTGAACTTCCAGCCACCAGAACTGTGAGAAATAAATTTCTGTTGTTTATAAGCCACGAGTCTTTAGTGTTTTGTTATAGCAGCCCAAATGGACTAAGATAAAAGGCTTTCTGCCTCCCTTCCTTCAGGTTCTAGTCAAAATATTAACTTCTCACAGACTTATTTTCTGATTACTTTCTATATAGTTGCACTCCCCAACTACTCTTTATCTCTTATCCTGCTGTCTTCTCCTTCACAGTATTTACCATATGGCATATTATAGTTTTATCTCTATTTTAGCATTGTCTCCATAATAAAACATAAGATCTATGAAAGAGGAGACATTGTTTTGTTCATTGCTTTATCTCCAGAACCTACATAGTTCCTGGCACATAGCAGACACTCAAGAGTAACCAGCAAAAAATAAAAATGGACCACATTTCTTTCTCTCATTTTAAGGTGGGAAAAAACCACCTTAAAAAGCAATCCAGGGGCCGGCCCAGTGGCGTAAGCAGTTAGGTGCGTGCGCTCCGCTGTGACGGCCCGGGGTTTGCATGTTCGGATCCTGGGCGTGCACCGACGCACTGCTTGTCAAGCCATGCTGTGGTGGCGTCCCATATAAAGTAGAGGAAGATGGACATGGATGTTAGCTCAGGGCCAGTCTTCCTCAGCAAAAAGAGGAGGATTGGCATCAGAGGTTAGCTCAGGGTTGATCTTCCTCACACACACACACACAAAAAGCAATCCAAAGGATGTCAAAACAAGAGGACAAAAAAGAAACAAGGAAATAGAAAACAAATAGAAAGTATAAAATGAAATGTTACAATTAAGCCCACATAGATCAGTAACAACAATAAATGTAAACAGACTAAATTTACCAGTTAAACAATTAGAGATCGTGAAATTGGATTTTAAAAAACAGGTATACCTCAGAAATATTGCAGGTTTGGTTCCAGATCACCGCAATAAAGTGATTCACACAAGTTTTTGGTTTCCTGGTGCATATTAAAGTTATGTTTGCACTATACTGTAGTCTATTAAGTGTGCAATAGCATTATGTCTAAGAAAACAATGTACATACCTTAATTAAAAAATACTTTATTGGGCCGGCCCCGTGGCTTAGCGGTTGGGAGCGCGCGCTCCGATGCGCGCTCCGATGCTGGCGGCCCAGGTTCGGATCCCGGGCGCGCACCTACGCGCCGCTTCTCCGGCCATGCTGAGGCCGTGTCCCACGTACAGCAACAAGAAGGATGTGCAGCTATGACATACAGCTATCTGCTGGGGCTTTGGGGAAAAAAAGGAGGAGGATTGGCAATAGATGTTAGCTAAGAGCCAGTCTTCCTCAGCAAAAAGAGGAGGATTAGCATGCATGTTAGCTCAGGGCTGATCTTCCTCA